GAGAACACTGATCTGCAGTGCAGTTGTTTGCCCTCTGTGTGAAAAATGATGACTTAGGCACACCCAGCCTTTAAAAAAGTGCTTAATAAAGTGCTTGGTTCCTAGTAGGTACCATGCAAGTGTTTTTTTTTTTGAAGAGGTTTTTGCCATAGGGCGCATGTGCTCTCCAGACAGAGACAGAGACAGACAGAGAGAAAGAAAGCGAGAAATCACTTCCCATGGGGGATGGCCACGCTGCAATCCCTTCTCCTCTGTTCTCCTCTCGGGATCTTGGGCACGCACGCACATGCGCCCAGCGTGTTTTAAGCCACCGGGTCTGGGACTCGAACAGCGGTTGACTACATGGGAGTCCAGTGACATAGCCATTACGCTAACTGCTGGTCCCATCACGCAAGTGTTTTTTAAAAATAAAAACATGTCTCCTCCAGGGGCTCGGGTGACTGTTGGGAGCACTGAGTTAACTAGAACATTTAAACTATCAACTCATGTTGTTTAGGGTTGGTAAAAGTTCTTAGTGATTTTAGCACATTTTAAAAATGAAAACCTTTAAAGTGAATATGTAATGTTTTATTTTGATGTGATTTCTGACTTAATGAAAAGTTGAAAGAATAATACGGAGAATTCCTGTGTACCCTTTTTCCTGATTCATTAGTGGCTTACATTTTGCCTGTTTGTTTTTAAATGCGCGGGTGCATGCATTCATTTTTCTCTTGTCTTCCTCCCTTGAATCTTCTTTTTTTTTTTTTTTCCTATTTCCCCTCTTTTTCTCTTTTTTTTTTTCAGTATTTGCTTGAAAATTATTTGACGACATTTGCCCCTTTTTTTCATCTCTTGTTTGTTTGTTTCTTTGATAAACGACAGAGGCAGAGAGGCAGGCATCCCCAACAGGGTCCTCACACTGCAGTCCACTGTTCGCCTCAGCCAGCCATGGGCCACGGGCATGCATGTTCTTGGCATGTTCAGGGAGATCTTTAGACGTGAACCCATGTGGGTCAGCGTCGCAGAGTCTTGTGTCACTGCTGCATCACTGTCTGGCTCCTGTGCCTTTTTCTTTTTTCAATTATTTCAGGTTGTATTTTCTTTAGTGTTTTTGTTATAGGGTATTTGCCAGAGACAGAGAATATAAGAAATATACCCCCACCCCCTGCAGGGGAAGGGAGAATGGCTGTGTCACAATCCCTTTCCCTCCACTCTCCTCTCGGGATTTTGGGTCCTCACGCACGCACATGTGTCCGGTGTGATTTTGAACTGCGGGATTGACCATGTGGGATCTAGTGCCTTAGCTGCCAATCTACCTGCTGGCCATCAGGGTGTATTTTGACAACTTCTTTTACTGTTACTACTTTTGTGCTAGAGGGTGTATGTTCCTGTGAGAGAGAGAGGGAGAGAGGGAGAGAGGGAAGGAGAGGGAGGAGAAAGCACCCCCTGACTGCTCTGTCCACAGCAGTGAGTGGCTAGGGCCTGGGAGAATGATTCTCAGAGGGAATTCACCAGCTAAGAGTGAAGGCAAGTAGGCCGAGGCAAAAGAAGGGCCCAGCCTTTCTGTTTCCTTGCTAAACCATCAAGCGCAGACAGAATATTTTCTTGTGTAACATGGAAATAAATGAAGCATCTGAGGAATGGTCTCTTCTGCCTGGGGACCTTAAAGGTTCTTGCTAACAGCAGACATAAGTAGCATTCTGATCTTTTGTAGTACAAGAGCGCCTGTCTCCACGTCACACCAACACATGGGTGAAAGGTGAAAAACGGAGCATGGTATTCAGACACCGAGTCTTTTTAGTTCATTCTGAGAATGAGCAGACTCATTTTTACAGTTTTTTTTTTTTTTTAAAAAGAATTGTTTTATTTAAATTTATTTTATTTATTTTAATTTGACCAGAGAGGGACAGAGAGAGTGAAAGAGAGAGGGAGAAAGTGAAAAAGCAAGCCATCAGGCCCAAGACTTGAACTGCAGTCAGCCATGTGGGAGTCCAGCGTCCTCCTCCACCACACCACCTGCCGGCCCCTAAGAAGGTTTTTTCAGTCCAGGCATAATGAATACCTTTTACCATTGAGAGCACTGAGACTGTAAAAACACAGGACTCGTGAAGCAGACTGATAGAAAGGACTGTGTTGGGGGGCCACCAGGTGGCATGGAGGTTAAGGGTGCTGGACTCCCACATGGCCGACTGTGGTTCGAGTCCTGGACCCGACAGTTTGCTTTCTCGCTTTCTCTCTCTGGTCAAATTTAAATAAAATAAAATAATTTCTTAAAAGAAATAAAAAAGGACTGTGTTGGGGACAACAGAGAGAAATGAAATGAAGAAAGCAACTCAAAGGCTCTTGGAGCCATGCACAAGAACACTGATGTGCTTGAATGTGCTAACATTTAGAGGTGACAAGAAAGAGTCAATCCCTCTTTTTTTTTTTTTTTTCCCAGTAAAGTTGATTGCTTCCATGAGAGAGAGAGAGACAGATACAGAGGCACACATAGAGAAAGACGGGTACCCCCTAACAGGGTTTCCATACCGCAGCCACCCCCAGTTTCAGCCATCCCTGGATCATGGTCACACATGTAACTGGTGTGTAGAGGGAGACCTCAGAATGTGAGCCTGGGGCCTTCCCATGTGGGCCCAGCATTGCAGTATGACAGAGCCACCATCCAGCCCCTAAAGAGTTAATCCTGATAAGCGAGTGCCTCTACCTTCTGGGAGGGTGACCTAATGAGTTCCCCTTAGCCTAGGTTCAACTCTGGCCCCTCGTCTGGCATACGGACAATTAGGTTGCATTTCTTTTCACTGATGGATCCATTTTTTTAATGAATTGAGTAAAGAATACCCAGTGGTTCCTTTTGTATGAGGAAAGCAAGATAAATATTAGCCTGGAAAGGTCATTTTGGTTTCCAGTATGTGGGAGTTCATTATGATGGGCCCTGATAAATTACACGGTGCAGTTCTTTCTGATAGCAGAAGGTTACATCGTGCCCTTGGGTGGACACCAGGACAAACATACTTAATAAAGTTAGAGGAAGTGGGAGATGCACATTTTCAAGTCTTTTTCTTCCAAGCAACTCTTATTTATACCGTTACTCAAAGCCATTTCCTGTCGTTGGACTAATCACCCAAGACCCACCCTTTTTCAGCGGTAGCCCCGAAAAGGTGGGTTGTCACGTTTACCACCTGGAGTGTCCTCTCATCAAACTTGTGGAGCTCTCTTTAGGTCATTTATAGAAGAGAAAATCTCAGTTGTGTTTGGTGATGGATTTAAAATGGGTTCCATGGAATTCTAAAGTATTTAGACTGCTTTTCAAAAGTCGTTTTTATATTATATTGCAACTTCAATATTTATTAGCGCTTGTCATTATTTTTCTCTGATCTCCACCACTAGGTGGGATATTTAACTTAGCAACGTTCAAAATGATAGAGTTTATGTTTGACTTTTTTTTCTTAAGATTCTTTTGATTTGGAATCGCGTCAGTCTTTTAAAGGATGCTGGCAGTAAGTAGGGAAGTCCTTGTAGGTCTGTGCGTTGAAGAACAGCGTTGCGTGTTAGCTGTGGTATTCACGAGTATGCTTTCTTTTTCTTGCTATAATGAATTACATTGGAAAGCTTTCTTATTTTTTTTAGATTTTTGCCATAGTGTGCACGCACTCACTGGAAAGTGACGAAAAGGAACAGAGAGAAGGAAAGTGATAAATCACCATGCCTCCTTTCCCCCTCCCCCCTGAGGGGGTGACCTTGCTTCTGTCTCTTCTCCTCTTGGCATTTTAAGCACACATGCACACGCACTTAGGCATAGCTATCAAGCCACCGGGTCCGGGACTCAAACCGGAGTTGGCCCTATGGGATCCAACGTCTTAACCACTGCACCACCTGCTGGCCTAGAAAGACTTTTTATTTCTGTCTCTACCAACATTTTTTCCCAAAGCAAATTTATTGGTTGCTTAGCATCATCTTGCAGTTCATATCACGGGAATCTAGAAATCTGGATCTTCCCGTGGGTGTTTCTTCTGCTCTGGGAGTTTGGGCAGACTGCATAACTTTTGGGGGCCAAATCTTCTCCAGTTTCTGTTGACATCCAATGGTCTATGAGATGGGAGAGTGAAATAGTGCATCTTGGGGTTTACTGCCAAATTTTGAATACCTTTGCTGCTGAGAGAATATCCATTTTAAACTATTGGGTTGTCAGGAAAGTTGTGACTCATTATTGCATAGAAAAACAGAAGGAAAGTGATAAATCACCATGCCTCCTTTCCCCCTCCCCCCTGAGGGGGTGACCTTGCTTCTGTCTCTTCTCCTCTTGGCATTTTAAGCACACATGCACACGCACTTAGGCATAGCTATCAAGCCACCGGGTCCGGGACTCAAACCGGAGTTGGCCCTATGGGATCCAACGTCTTAACCACTGCACCACCTGCTGGCCTAGAAAGACTTTTTATTTCTGTCTCTACCAACATTTTTTCCCAAAGCAAATTTATTGGTTGCTTAGCATCATCTTGCAGTTCATATCATGGGAATCTAGGAATCTGGATCTTCCCGTGGGCGTTTCTTCTGCTCTGGGAGTTTGGGCAGACTGCATAACTTTTGGGGGCCAAATCTTCTCCAGTTTCTGTTGACATCCAATGGTCTATGAGATGGGAGAGTGAAATAGTGCATCTTGGGGTTTACTGCCAAATTTTGAATACCTTTGCTGCTGAGAGAATATCCATTTTAAACTATTGGGTTGTCAGGAAAGTTGTGACTCATTATTGCATAGAAAAACAGAAAAACATGTCATGACTTTCCTGATGATCTAATATAATGTGTTAACTAATATGAGGCTGGCTGGTGGCTGTAGAATTCTGTATTCCCTTCCACCTCCATATTAGACTATAAATATGGGTATGTTCGGCTGTCCATCACTTGTCTGAAACTGCACGTGTCATGGTAAAAACCACTATTTTGCTACTGGAAATCTGTTTCATTTTAACATTAAAATGCTAATTAATTCATTTTCTCCCCCTTCTGCTTTTTTAAAATAGGTCTTCTCAGCTAAAATAATTTTTTTTGGAACGGCAGACATGGTTGGTCCTTGCTACAAATGGGAATTTGGAGTCACTCTGAAACATATCCCAGAATAATTGTGTTGACTGGAACCACATCTTATGAAGTCTCCAAGGTAAAATGATTTTAACACACACCAAGAGGTGATGTCTTAACACAGTACTGAGAATTTAGCAAAACCAAGTGTCCAAGAATTGATGATCCCTCGTAGAAGCTTCTTAGAGATGGGGTGGGAGAGTCAGGCAAGCCACCCAGAAGACGTGGAGGCAGCCCAGAAATAGCAATGACAAGAAGATGCCATCTTTCCTGGGCTGGTGGGACAGAGGAAGCAGTGTGGGCCGAGCCTGAGGGAAGGCACCTTCAGTGGCAGCTAGAAACATAGTGGGCCCTTCTGGGAGGAACTGGAGCCATGGAGGAGAAATGACCTCTTCATAGATCCTATCCAGCACCAAGACAACGGGGAGACAGACCCCTGCCTTTCTCTTTCCTTCCCTCCTTCCTTGTTGCCTCCTCTTTGCTGGACCCAGCCAGGAGCCAGCTGACTAGGAGCCTGGGAAACTGCAGCCACAATTTTCACCCTCCACCCCTTTAGTACAGGGGAAGAGGATGGGATGGATCTGAGGGCAAAACAGGCCAGGCTCACAAGAATCTAGCCCCCAGTGCAGTGTTTTTAATCATCTTTTTAGATGTGCAGTGTTTTTGCACATCTAAAAAGATATTCTTTTGATCTCTTACGGTGATAATAGACACCACAGAGTGTAAGAGCCTAATATCCCAAGTGCCCTGACTTTTGCTCAAAAAGTTAATTAAAAAAAATGAGCAAACAAAAAAATTAATCAAGTTGTGTTTAATTCCCCATAATGGTAAAAAGGGCAGAAAAATTAGGGAGCCAGGGATAACGTGTGCTTGATACTTCGCTTTGATTTATTTTTCTGTTTTTGTTTTGGAATAGGATGTGCCACCACTTAGAGCAGCTGTTTACCTGTGCTGGTCCATGTTCCCTACCGGACTTGGGCATCAGTCTAATAAACTATGCGTCTAGACCCCCAGACCAGAGGGCCTCGATAAACAAAGCTCTAGGCCCCCGGTGCAAAATTTCCATGGATTCTTCCAGATGCTTGAACCACGTACATCGGTGGTTTGAGTGTGTAGCTGTTAAATCTCATGTTATGAAATAGACCATAAACCCCCTTCTCTATTAGGGCAACTTGAGCTACACCTTGGGGATTCGTGACTCCTCGCCGAGGCTGGTGCTAACACGGTGATAACTCTTACTTACAAATGATGTTTGATGAAGATTGAGTTACTGCTTTGTGCAAATAGGGATTGACAGGCCTTCAGTTTTCTTGGGGTAAAGAAGTCTAGTGCCAAGATCTCCCCTGCCTTTCCCCATATTCCTGGGCCAGTGTTGCCCAGAAGCCTCACCTCGCTCACCCCTCTCAGACGCGAACCCTGCTTTCTCCCCAGGATGAGAGTCTCTGCTAAGTCCCTGTTGCTGTCTCACTGGCTCCTTCTGGCCTACTTGCTGATGGTGTGCTGTAAGCTGATGTCCGCGTCCAGCCAGCACCTCCGGGGACACGCAGGTAAGCCCTTTAAGCTCATGACGCACTGCTGAGATCAATTACTAAAGCCCTTTGAAACGTCAGAGTCTGCATTTTAGACACAGGTTACTGACAAGAGCATCTGAAGGTGTAAATAATCAGAGGAAGCAGGAAGCACTGCTGCGTAGCCCCGTGTAAGGGTTTGGTGCTTAAAGAGTGTTGCTCTGGACTTCTTTCTAAGCTGTTCTCCAGGCCTTCGTCTTTTCTATTTTGTAGTGCTTTTTCTCAGAGAACCCCAGGAAAGCAGCAGTACTTTGTGTATGTGTGTTAATGGACACGTGCAGCTTTCTTAGAAGGTCGAATGTCCTTATTGAAAAACTTAGATTAACACGGGGCTTCGGTGAAGGGAACTTTCAGATCATTTACGATCTTGATGAGATGTGTAGAGAAAAATGATGCTGAATGATTAATAAAAAGTAGAGAAAAGAAAACCCTTTAGGTTGCATGGAACCTAAGTGGAATGTGTCTAAAGTTTTAGAGGCAGTCATTCTTATAATTTCTAGTGCGACCCATGTTTGTAAGTTGCTTATTTATTGCTTTTTGGTGTGTGTGTGTGTGTGTGTGTGTGTGTGTGTGTGTTTAGAAAGGCCCTGATGGGCACAATCTTGCTGACTCAGCCTTTTTAGTAGCTGGGATGGTAGGTGGGTGCCACTCTACCCAGTTTTTTGTTTTGTTTCGTTTCCCTCCAAGAATTAATTAATTAATTATTTTAAATTTGATGAGGGAGAGAGATGGAAAGTGAGAAAGCAAGCTGCCAGGTCTGAGACTCAAATCGCCATCAGCCATGTGGGAGTCCAGCGCCTTAACCACCTCCCCACCTGCTGGCCCCCTGTGCCCAGCTCTTAAGGGTGAGCTGGGAATTGAACTCGGGGCTCCCATGTGGCCTCAGCCTGCCAAGCAGCAGTATTCAGTGTGTACTCTCATAGTATTGCTTATTTTTACAGCAGAGATTAAAACCATTAGCTAAAAAACTATATATATCTCCCCCTTTTTTACTATGTCTACATTTAAAGTGACACAGAATGGAAATTCCCTGGGGAATTATATTTTCCTGAATAATTCGTATTTGTTGGTAGATTCATTGCCAATAATTCATTTTCTGTCTAACTGGGGTAATTTGAGGTGGGGGTGCCAGACATGTTTTGACTTAGGGTCCAAGTTTCCATCTTTCCCCAACTCATATATGGGTCAGCATTGCAAGTTCTCCCAAAGATCTCGCATGTGGGAAGTTTATGAGCTGTCCTTACCCACAGATACGCAACCCGTCATGCTTTCTAGTCTGGTAGTCTGGCTATTTTAAGGCTAGCTTTAATTTTAGACTCAAGATCACATTTTAAATTTCTCCCAACTCAATTTTCCCGCCGAAAGCGATAGTTGGAAGAAGATGGGAAGAACAATGATTGAAGTTTTAGTGACTCAGCATAAAATCAATACCGTTTGGCTGCTGTAAAATGCCCACAGCTAGTTGGTTATTGTGCTTCGTATCTTTTGATGAGTTTGTTCAGGAGGGGAAAGTGTCTGGAGTTGTTAATCTTATCTGTTTATTACACATCTCTCTTCTTGAGTGGAGGTTGAGAGTTACGATAGTCAACAGGCAAACCATTTCAGTGGGGCTGGTTATCAATAGTGGAGCCTCACATTTCTAGGATCGAGGCTTCAAGGATCGTGTTGAACAGTGATTAAAGGGACCAGCAGATGGCGTAATGGCTATGTCGCTGGACTCCCATGTAGTCAATTACGGTTCAAGTCCCAGACCCGGTGGCTTAAACTCATGCCGGATGCGTGTGCGTGTGTGCCCAAGATCCCGAGAGGAGAATGGAGGAGAAGGGATTTCGGTGTGGCCATCCCCCTTGGGGGGTGATTTCTCACTTTCTATCTCTCTGTCTTTCTGGCAAGCGTATGTGCCCTATAGCAAAAAACTTCTCCAAAAAAAAAAGAGAGAAAAGTGATTAAAACTTGAAGGATACAGAGGACATGTTGAACTTCCCATTTTTTAATCTGTGTGGCAACCCTTACTTTATACTATACCCCTCAGCATTTGAGCTGGATAGACCTGTATGGGTATGTCTGAATGAAGATCGAATTGGATGCCTGAGAAAAAGGATAGTGTCATCCATATAAGCAAAGGCTCTAGAGCAACAGGGATGGTCGTGGGCCTGAGCAACGCCTTGGCAAATCTTGCTAAATAAATGAAAATACCATCTTGAAGTTTCTAGATGAAATTTAGATTTATTCTAGATTCTTAGCATATGTTTGCTGGCTTTTCAAAAAATTGACTTATTTAGTTTTAGGTTTTGCTGTAGGGCGTGTGCACATAATAGAGAGACAGAGAGGGAAATTGAGAAATCATCCTCCAAGGTGGGATGGCCATGCCACAGTCCCTTTTTCATTCTTCTCTCAGGATTTTGGGCATGCATGCATATGTGCCCAGGGTGACATTTAAGCTGCCAGGTCTGGGACTTGAACCATTGTCAGCCAAGTAGGAGTCCAGTGCCTTAACTACCATGCTACCTGTTGGCCCCAATCACTTTTTTTAAAGGACTTATTTACTTAATTTTAATTATTATTATTATTATTGTTATTATTATTTTGACCAGAGAGAAACAGAGAAAGGAAAAATGAGAAAGCAAGCCACCAGGTTCAGGACACAAACCACAGTCAGCCATGTGGGATTTTTTTTTTTTTTTTTTGCCAGAAGGCGCATGTAGTTGGGGAGAGAGAGAGTGAGAAAGAGAGAAAGCACTTCCCAAGAGGGCATGGTCATGCTACAATCGCTTTCTCTCCATTTCTCCATTCTACCAGGACCTTGGGCACAGATGCACATATTCCTGGTATGTTCCTCAAGCCACTGGGGCCAGGACTCAAACCACCATTGTCCAAATGGGATCTGCCTTCCTATGCACAGCACTTAACCTCTGTGCTACAGGGCTGGCCCTGTCCTCTGGTTTTCCATTTCTTTTTGTCTGTGGGAGATTCCTCCTGCTTTCATCTTGGAATTTAAGTCCCTCTCCTCCTCCATCTTAACAACCACCAGAGGAATCAGAGCTAACCAACTCCTTCCCACAAGGACCCTGTTCTCTAGGTGAGGCTGCCTGTTGCTTGAAGAAAAGGAAAGTCTGTCCTCTTAAGTTTTTGTTGACTGCCCTTCTGGGGACAAACAAAAGTGACATATTCCAGTATGTATGTACACACACCTATCACTCTCCCGTATTTTGTAAATGTACCTCTTCCACTCCAATTTAACAATGCAGTTTAGAGATCCTTTCAAGGAGTTCTTGCGCGTCCCTGTCAGTCTGTTTAACACCATCGAGTCATCTATTGTGTTGATGTGCCATAAATCATTTGGTTATTACCAATTTGGGTACAGTTTGCTGCTTATCAGACTTGTACAAGTACCTATGTCCTGACTTGGGGTGAATTCCTGCTAGTGAAATTCCTGAGTTAAAGTACACGTAAACTTGATAGAATAGGTTAATACTGTGACAGAGACCAAAAATGTGTAATGGTTCTAACAAAAGATTCATGTTTTGTTCATGAGTATTAGGTAGATAAATATGTTACCTGGATGCTTCTCTACTGTAGTCTTTTTTTTTTTTTTTTGAGAGGTTTTTGCTATAGGGCACATGTACTCGCCAGAAAGAGAGACAGAGAGACAGAAAATGAGAAATAATCCCCCCAGTCGGAGATGGCCATGCCACAGTCCCTTCTCCTCCATTCTCCTCTTGGGATCTTGGGCATGCACACACATATGCCCGATGTGAGTTTAAGCCACCCGGTCTGGGACTCGAACTGCAGTCGACTACGTGGGAGTCCAGTGACATAGCCATTATGCCAACTGCTGGTCCCTCTCCTGTAGCTTTTTAAGAACTCAGGATAGATGGATTTTCAATCAAAAGGAAATGTAAGTCACAACAATTCAGGAGCAGTTTCTGTTACTTTATTGGCAAAAATCTACTCTTTTTAACCTTTGGCTTCCAGGGTTGACCTGGAGGGAAAATCAGCATAGAGAGGTAGACCTGACAGGTGTTAACAGGCCTAGGTAGTGGCAGCATTACTTGAACTCTCCTGCCATTGGCTAAATCTTAGTCTCATGGCCTTACCTAACTGCAAGGGAGGCTGGGAAAGGTACCTCTGGCTTTGGGCACACGAAGAAGTGGGACACATGAATTAAGATGGGCAGTCTGCAGCTCTGACACATTTTAAGAGTGCCCGTGTGACCAGCAGATGGCGGAATGATAACATTGCTGGATTCTCACGTCATCCACCACTGTTCAAGTTTCAGACCTGGCAACTTAAAACTCACACTGTGTGTATGTGTGTGAGTGCCCAAGATCCCAGGAGGAGAAGGGATTGTGGTGTGGCCATCCCCCCGGAGGGTGATTTCTCGGTTTCTGTCTCTCTAGTGAGTGCAAGTACCCTATAACAAAAAGTCACTCTTAAAAAAAAAAAAAAGAGTGCCCAAATACCTTTCAAAACTTTTAGATTTATTTATACTTCTGCAAACAGCAGTGGGATGATAATGCCTATTTTTCTTTCTTTAAAAATTTTTTTTTCAAAGAAGTATTTAATTTTATTTATTTATTATTATTCTTCAGTTTGGCCAGAGACAGAGAGAGTGCGAGAGAGAGAGCATGAGAGAGAGAGAGCGCATACGCAAGCCACCAGGTCCAGAACTCGAACCATGGCCAGCCATGTGGGAGTCCAGCACCTAAACCACCACACCACCTACTAGTCCCGATAATACCTAGTTTTCTATGTAATCATCACCTCTGGGTACTATAAGTTTAAGATTTTGTCAATAAAATAACAAGAACTGCTGTTGGATTGTTTTGACTTGCATTTCCTTTTGACTAAAAACTCTCATGTGTGTATAAACTATTTGCTTTATCTTTCTGTTGGTTTTATCGGTTGCTTTCTTGCCTTTGTGAAATCTCTTCATAGACTGAGGACAGTGGGCCATTCCTTCCTCATGCCTCCCTACT